TCACATTGCATTTTGAGAATCAGCTGGGGTACCGATTGCTTTAAGAGAAGGCTTCTCTCAACGGTGAAGGGAAGTTGGACATGGTGGTGCAGGACTGTAATTCCAACACGCAGGATGCTGAGGCAGGAGGATCAGAAGTTCAAGGCCTACCTGGGCTACCCAAAGGAACAACAACAACAACAACAAAATGAATTTAAGTAAGGAGGGAAATTCTTCCCCTTTCTGAGTTCTGGACATTTTCATGACTCATGGTGCTTCTGTGACCTTCTCAGGAACAGAGGAAGGCCAAAAGAATTACAGAGCTTGACTAGTGTAATAGGGCCAGAGACTCGGCCACCTCTAATGCCATCCTAGCTCGAGACTTTATGTTACACCAACCAATGTGTCTTCTGGTTTTTTGTTTGTTTGTGGGTGTTTTGTTTTGAGACAGGGTCTTACTATGTATCCCTGGCTGATCTAAAACTCACTATGTAGACCACGTTGACCTCAGACTCACGGAGATCCACTTGCCTCCTCCCTCTGAGAGCTAGGATTAAAAGCATGTCTTTAATAGCTCTGTCTTCTATTTTTAAATCCTCCACTTACTAACCTATCGCCTGCATCCTCAAACACCCTGAATGACATTCCCACTGAGGGTAACAATGGAGACATCACTTTGTTGTTTCCGCAGTCGATCTCAGCTCCTATATGTCTGAGCCATCTCCCACCCCCCTCTTTCCCTGTTTGTACTAACAATGACCCAAATGAAGTTACCCCATGCTTACCCTGAGTCCCCTAAGTGGCTGCACCCCCAAGACCTCTTCACTGATGCCATGTTATCATCATCGGTCAGGGTTACAATGTCTCCACGTGTTCAAACACACAAAGCTATGTTATCTACCGGCTGCTGTATTCCAGTCCTCTGCCTGCTGCCTGCTCCCGGCCCAGGTCCCTCTCCCAACAGATCATCCTGAGTCCCTGGCTTCTCCCAGACTTGGCTGTTTCATTTCAGCTGCTCTGCCCTGTCAGCTCTCTCACACACACGCTCAACAGTGTAATCAGCAGCGGAAGAGCCATGTGAGACAGCAGAGCCCGGTCAGTGCCTGCAGATGGGGGAAGGTCAGTGGCCGGGAACGAGCTCTCACTCATCTGACTCTAGCCAGGTGAGAAGATGCGACAAAGCGATAAGGAATCGGTCACAGCCATGGATTCCTTTGTGCCTGAGACACCTTTCTAAAACGGTCCCCGATGGAGTATGCATAAGTACAGTGAGCCACAGGATGACGGCTCTCTGTATCTCTAACAACAAGGAAATGAAAACTTAGTGTTGCTGGGAGGGAGATGGGTTTTTTTTTCCCCCTGAAAGTTTGATCTGTTCTTTGAAACATGGAATAAAAAAATACAAAGGTATTTTTAGATTGTAGAAATAATATCAAATATTGTTTCTCTTCTCAGAGAAGTTATAAATAAAAATTGGAGCAATGACATGTTAAGCGAGTTTGGCTAGCACAGGGCCCTGGCCTGGGTTCACCCTTCAGCACTGAGGGAGTGGGGGTGGGGCTGAGCTGTAAAAAGGCAGCATGAGAGGAAAGTGGTTGTTTAAAAGCCCCTCATGGATGCCAGAGGTGGTGGTAATCCCAGTATTCAGGTGATATCAGAGGATCAGACATCCAAGATCACCCTACCTATGTATGAGTTCAAGGCCGATGTGAGTTACATGAGACCCCATCTCAGAAACCCAACAAACAAGGGCTGAAGAGATAGTTCAGTAATTAAGGGTATTCGCTGCTCTGACAAAAGACAAGAGTTCAAATCTTAGTACCCCTGTCAGGTATCTCCAAACCATCTGAACCTCCAGCTCCAGGGGATCCAATGCCCTCTTCTGGCCTCTTTGGACACTCCATCCCTGCCATACACACACTTGTAAATCAATAAAATAATTTTTAAAACAAAACCAAAAAAAAGTAGTTTATGGAGATGGGCCTATTGGCTCATGCTAATACTTGAAGACTGAGGCAGGAGCATTGCTTTGACCTCAGTTGAGATCAGTTGAATCTACAGAGTGAATTTTAGAAGAACATAAGTTATAATGAGGCCCTATCTCAAAAAGCTAAAGTGAGGGTCACTTTATATCGAAATACAGTGTTTGTGTGTGCATGCATGTATAATAGAGTTCAAGACTTAGGTCAAATTATTCCAATATCTTCTTCATATAAAAGGAGATTGTACTTTGTAACTAATAATTGCAGTGTGTGTGTGTGTGTGTGTGTGTGTGTGTGTGTGTGTGTGTGTGTGTCTGGAATGTCTTTTAACATTCCACATCTGAGCTTTTTGAGCATTTGTTCAATAGTAATTAGTCATGGATCTTGGTGGGATGGAAAGTCTTCTCTGGAACTCACAGAAGCATGAGTAAGGGGTTATTTACAGCATCACAGGCACTTTACCAGTGGCTGCATCACTGAAGAAAATGTCTCTCCCTCCCCCTGCAACCATCAACTGCCTGTGGCTCCTCAGGAAGGAGTGGAGCCTCATAAGATCCAGCCTCTTCCATGGTGGAATGTTGGCCAGCCCAGTCTTGTACAGGTCTCCTGAAATAATCACAGCTGCTGTGAGTGCCATGGTCATCTCCTTCGGGGGAGTCAGCATTCCACAACATCCTTGGGCCCTTCCTTCAATTTGTACATTCTTTCCTTTCCTCCTCCTCATCCCTGATATTTCCTGAGCCTTGGAAGGAGTGATAGAGATGTCCCATTTAGGGCTGAACATTCAGCAATTGCTTGTTCTCAGTATTTTGAGCAGTCATGAAGCTCTGCAGCAGCTGTGACCCACTGCACGTAAGAAGCTTTTCTGACCAAAGCTGATCTATGGGCACAGATACGAATATACAGAAGGGGCAGCAACATGGCCGACTTAACATGTCCAACAACAGCAATAGCTTCCCAGCTAGAGCTCATGATCTTCCTAGCCAGGAGCTTTTGACCAGATTTACAATGCCAGATGTGAATTCCTTCCTGTGCAGCAAGGCCTCAAATCTAACCAGGAAGTGGTTGGTTACCCCTAAGGGTCATGCCACTACTGCACCAGTGGAGACTCACGTTTTTATAACTGGAAGATCCATAAAGTTGCTTTGTTTTCCAAACACAGTTTTTTTTGGTTTGTTTGTTTGTTTGTTTTTGTTTTTTTCAAGACAGAGTTTCTCTGTGTAGCTTTGCGTCTTTCCTGGAACTCACTTTGGAGACCAGGCTGGCCTCAAACTCACAAAGATCCACCTGCCTCTATCTCCCGAGTGCTGGGATTAAAGGCATGCACCACCACCGCCCCCAAACACAGTTTTCTACATGAAAGAATTTCACGTCCAGCTTTTAAAACAGTATTCCTTGGGCTGGAGAGATGACTCAGCGATTAAGAGTGCTTGTTGCTCTTGCAGAAGACCTGGGTTCGGTTCCCAGCACCCACATGGTGGGTCACAACCATCTGCAATTTTACTCCCAGCGGAGGCCAATGCCCTCTTCTGATCTCTGTGGTCTGTGAGCATCAGTATTTCTATCCTCATATCACTATGAACATTTTAAAAACTAGAATGCCACATCCATTTTCTCTTGCTCTTTTTATGGGACATGAGACAGGGTCACTCTGTGGCCCTGACTGGCCTGGAACTCACTTTGTAGAAATGCTATGTAAACCTTTGAAGTAGACTTTGAAGTTTGGACAATCTTCTCACTGCTGCCTATGGAGTGCTAGTATTAGGGGCATGCTTTGCCATATCTACCTCAGGAATAAAACCATCTCTTGCCAAATATCTGCATTTGCCGATAGCCTGACAACATAAGAAAGGAGCCAAGCCCATCATGGTGGTGCACACCTCTAACCCCAGCACCAACAGGAGGAGAGTGGGAGGGAGTTCGAGGCCAACTGGGCTACGTCAAGAATTCCAGGCTAGTCTGGGTGACATAGCAAGACTCTGTCTCCAAACAATGAAGCTAAAATAAATAAATAAAAACATGGTATGTACTCACTCCTAAGTGGATACTAGATATAAAGCAAAGGACAATGAGACTGCAACCCACAGATCCAGGGAGGCTCCATAGCAGGGGGGACCCTAGGATGACTGTGGCTTATAATAAGTTTTGATTTTACTCAATCATTGGGCAAGCATCAGTGAAACATTTCTCTATTAGGATAAGAATTTGTACTGTATCAAGCTGATGATAGAAATAATAATAATAAAATTAAATTAAAAAAACATGACAGTAAATGACTGGTTATTTCTGGTGTGTATGTGGAACTGAAAATAGGAACTAATGTAGAGTTATTTAGTTGTTGCTTTGTGGATTTTTTTTTTTTTTAATATTTGGAGACAGGATCTCAGTAAGTTATTTAGGCTGTCTTTGACCTTGCTGTTATTCCAGGCTGTTGTGAGACTCGTAATCCCCCTGCTGAGTGCCAGGCTTACAGGTGTAGCCCACCATGCCCGGCACTGGAGTCACTTCTGTTGGGTACTGAAGTAGGTGTGTGTATTTCTGTGCTTGGGGTTCACTCTAAGCCCCAAGTGGGGCCTCAGTGTGAGGCTTGTATGCCTATGGAAATCATTCTAGCCCCTTCCAGATTCTAGGATTACAATACAGTTGAGGCTTGGTGGTACAAGCTTGTAATACCAACCCTGGGGAGGGGGGATGGAACGAGGGGGCTCGAGGCCAGCCTCTGCTACACAGCAAGTTCCAGGCAAGCCTGAGCTACCAAAGACCATATTTCAAGGAGTAACAAAAAGATACAGGGCTTGAACAGGACTCCAAAGTTGGAAATTAGGTAAAAACAAAGGATGTGCCAACTGACTGTACCTTGGAAAGGAAACTTTGTCGGTAACCAGCAGCCAACAGGTAGATCTGGAGCCACATGCTAGTTCCCACTCATTGTAAACCCTTACAAGTCATGTGGGGTTTAATCTGCAAAATAACAGCTGTTGCAGCTTTCCATCAGTTGGGACAAATCCATTTGCTCAAATGCCCCCCTTTTTTTTCCAGCATCTGGGTGGTCCGGTGCACTGCTACAGGGGGATGAAGCAACTGCAGATCCCATAGGAACCGACGCAGACATGGCCATTGAGGTAAGACCTTTCTCGGGTGACTTCTCCAAGGTCATCTGTACGTCAGAGTGAGGCAGTGGCTTGTTCCCTTGGCCCTGCTGACCTGCTCTCTACTGAGGCAAACAGACACAGGGTTTCCTGAAATCTGGGAGCAGACAAAAAAAGCTTTTTAAAATCTTGTTACATTTTTATTTATTTTGTGTAACTGTGGGTGTGCGTGAGCGGTCCTGTAATGTGTCAGGACACAAGTGTGGAGGTCAGAGGACACAACTTGGAGGAGTCAGTTCTCTCCTTCCACCGTCTGTGTTCTGAGGAATGAATTAAAATGTCAAGTTTGGCTGCAAGCACCTTTACCTGCTGAGCCATCTCACTGGCCCTCGGAAAGTTTCTGAAAGCCAAAAATCGATGTCTTGATCTCCAGTGGGCCTGCTGTAGGGTATTCATGAACGTCTAAGAATAGGCTAAGTTCAAACTGTAGCCTCCATGGGGTCAGAGCAGCAGCCATGACTATTCCGAGCTTTGAGAAGTCCGGCCCCACTGTGCATTGTGCAGAAAGGTCATGGAGGCACAGGGCAGCTTTGGTTCAGACTCAAGATTTCCAGTGATGTCAGCAGGAAGGCAGCACATGGCCCACTCAGGCAGGAATAGTGATGGCCAGAGGTTTACAAAATGAGTCATCTGAAGTTAATGAAATAAGCGCCGTGCAAATGAAATGCATGAAAATCATCACATGGATTAAGGCTCTTTAATGAACAGGACCAGCGGCCCCACTGTACTGGGTTGGGTATGAAGGAAACTGCCTCCTCTCTTCTGTTGTGTTTTAGTTAACAAAGCCTGGATGCGGAGGACTTCCTCCTGTCCCGCCTTGGATGACTTGAATTTTCAGTACGTGCCATTTCTGAATGTTTTCTTCTGGAAACATAAAACCACAAAAGCCTTCCTTTTGTTTTGTGTTGTTGTTTTGAGACATGGAAAGGTGGTAGGAGGGACAGAGGAGGAGTTGGAAGGAGGGGAAGGGGGCAGGAGAAGATTTGATCAACCCACATGATGTGCATTGAATGAAGAGCTTATTTCCATTTTGTTATGTATTTATTTATTTGTCATACTGGGGGGTTGAACCCAAGGCCTTGTTTTTGCCAGGCAAGCACTCTATCAACTAAGCCCCAGACCCCAACTTTTATATTGAAAATACTTTCTAAATATATCAATGTAGACAGGAGCATCATATGAACCTGTTTGATAGTTCAAAATTGCTCAGTGTAGTTGGTTGAATTGTGAATCATAAAACATTGCATCTTACTGGACAGTGGTGGCACACACCCTTAATCGCAGCACTTGGGAGGCAGAGGCAGGCAGATCTTTGTAAGTTTGAGACCAGCCTGATCTACAGTTCTAGGACAGCCAGGGATACACAGAGAAACCCTGTCTCAAAAACAAAAACAAAACAAAACAAAACAAAACAAAACACTGTATAGCTAAAGGATTATTTGAGAAGAAAAGGGAGACAAGAGAGGGTAATAAAGGGATTAATATGATCCAGGTATGCCAGAATGAAGCCTGTCATTTTGAACAATTAATGTATACTACTAAAAAACTTCAGGGGGATGGAGAGATGGCTCTTCAGTTAGGAGCATGCACTGTTCTTCCAGAAGACTAGAGTTCAATTCTAAGCATTCAGGTGAGGTGGTGCACAATCCAGATCCAGGAAGAACTGATACCTCTGACCTCCTTGGGCATCTGTACATACATGTGCATACCCATACATACATGTATACACCCATGCACAGATCTAAACAACATAGATGATTAAGAATATTATTTTAAAAATCAGCTAGGTATGGAGGCACACACCTTTAATCACTCTGGAGACAGTCAGAAAGATCTCTGTGAATTCCAGGCCACCCAGGGCTACATAGAGAGGGGATCATTCCTGGTGATCCTTCCTGTAAGCCCAGCACTTGGGAAGCCGAGGAAAAAAGTTGATGAATGGGAAGAGATGGGTATAGAGGTCAGGAACTAGAAAGGGAACCATGAGGAGGAAATAAATAAATAAATAAATAAATAAATAAATAAATAAATAAATAAATAAATAAATAAATAAAAAAGACTTTCGGGGAGAGCGGGTAATAAAACATATGTGATATGAAAGTGAGGGGAGGGAATAGTGGGTGGGAGGGTGTATACACTGGGGTGGAGGTTGAGGAGATTGGGGGGGGATGAACCAAAACTAAATATAAAGATTCCTTAGAGAAACCTACTACTTTGTTAGCTAATTAAGATAAAGACCATTGCCCTCCCCCCCTTCACCCTAAGAAACATCTGTCCTAACTTCAGGCATCTGTGAACGTGATTTTAACTTAGAGAAAGTATCTTTGTAGATATAATTAAGAATCTTGAGATGAGATCACTCCACTTTTACCAGATGGTGCTAAAGTGAATGACATGTGTCTTTCTAAGAGATAGAAGAAAGAAGCAGGCATGTGTGAGGCCATATGAAGAGACAGAGGCCGGCCAGAATAGGAGTTCTGCAGCCTCGAGCTAAAACCGAACGGGGAGGCGAAGGGTAGCTGGGGGCAGCCCATGTGTGAGGGCTCTGTGTAAGCCCTAGCACACCGAAAAAACTAAACTCCAAACTGACGAAGCTCCAAAAGCTGGAAGGTGCTAGAAAGAGCTTCCTCAGAGCCTGGTGAGGAAAGCAGCAATAACAATGAAGATTTCAGATGGTGGCGTTCCAGAGATGTGAGAAAATGAATTGCTGTGTTTTTTAAAGTACTCTCTCTGCGGCAATTTGTTACAGCCACCCCAGGAGACTAATACACTAAAGGTTCTACCATGTGGTCTGGTATGGTGGTAGAATCAGGCAGATCTCTGTGAGTTCAAGACAGCCTAGTCTACATAGTGAGTTCTAGGCCAGCCAGAGCTATACAGTGAGATCCTGCGTTTCTACCGAGAACAGTGCTCACTACCAATGCTACAGAGCCTGAAAACCAGTACTGTACAGATCCGTCCCAGCAGCTCGCTTCGCTGTGCTTGTCCTTTGTTTGGGGAGAAATGTTGACTTTATTTCAGCTTATGTCATCACTGTTTACCACAAGAAAAGGGCAATCAGACTTCAGGAGCACTTCGAGTTGTCTTTTTCTGTGTTAATGTTTCTTCGGACACTGAATGAATGAGTGTGTCCATGGCATGGATTATTGTTTGCTAAAACTTGCCTGGCTATGGGAATCCCCTTTGCGGCAGAAACAGGAACTTTCCAGGCTGCTGCTTTAAAAGTTCAGATGTCAGAAGATGTGAAATTAAAAATGAGTGCTGCCCCCTCCCCTGTAAAGTACTTGGGATTGGACACATGCTAGGCAAATACTTCATTGCTGAGCTATAATCACAGCTCCTTACAAACAAACAAACAAAAGCAGAGAAAGAGACAGACTGGGCTTGACCTTGCTGCTTTGTTTGGCCAACCTTCCAAGTAGGTTCTGCACCACTGGGCCTAAGTCATCAAGACAGAGGTCAGGGACTTGTCTGTCTCGTCATTTCTTGGCTATTTCTTTTTGTTTTTGTAGTCCTGGGCATTGAACCCAAGACTTTGAACATGTTAGAATATTCTAGACAATCTACCACTGAGCTATATCCTTTTGAAACAAGGTCACACTATGATTGTTCAAGCAGGCCTTGAATTTGCCATCCTCCTGCCTCTGTCTCTTAAGTAACTGTGATTAGAGGCCTGCAATGCCCGACATGGCTGATCAGCTCCCTCTGCACAGGGAATGAGGCTCAGACCTCTTCACCCTGACTCCAGGGCACCTCTCGCCATATCTTCCACTACATCTCTGCATCCGTCCCTGCCCTCTCCATCCAGTCTTTAGCCAGTCACCTTTCAATCCCATGAGTCCCTCTGTCTGAGGCCCTTCCGGCCTCCTCACTCCTTAGAACAGACCAAACTCAAGGGCAGGTGCCTCGTTTTTTAAAGCCCCATGGCTCTGCTTTCTTTGGCATTACATGTACTAAAATTGGAATGAGGCAAAGATTAGCATGTCCCCTGCTGAAGGATGACACACAAATTGGGGAAGTGTTCCTACTTAAAAACAAAAAACAAACCAATTTGGCTTTTACTCACAGTTTCCTGGCTAGCTAGCTCCTCCCCTCTGCCCCTTCCCAGCCTGGTTCATTCTTCACGTTGAGTGCTCAGATGTCCCCTCCTCCCATGGCATTTTCTGTCCAGTATTCTTGCTGGATGTTCTCACAAGACCTAGCACATCTCCATCATAACTAGATGCGATAAATTTAAAAAAGAAAGAAAGAAAGAGAGAGAGAGAGAGGGAGGGAGGGAGGAAGGAAGGAAGGAAGGAAGGAAGGAAGGAAGGAAGGAAGGAAGGAAGGAAGGAAGGAGGAGTAGAAACCTTGCCTAGCATGTGTGGTCCTAGGTTCAGTCCCTTTGTGGTGGTGCAGGAAGTCAGGAGGATTGAGGTGGAGGCAGGAGGATTGCTGAGAGTTTAAGAATAGCTTGGCTACATGGAAGTTTGAGGCAAGTCTAAGCCACTTAACAAGTTCCTGTCTCAAAAATACAAGAAAATTGAAAAATACAAAAAAAAAAAAAAAAAAAGAAAGAAAGAAAGAAAAGAAAATCTCACCAGGTGTGGTGGTGCATGCCTTTCATTCCAGTACTCACACTCAAGAGGGAGAAGCAGGAAGAATTCTTCGGCAGGTGGATCTCTGTGAGTTCCAGGTCAGGCTGCTTCTCCAAAGTGAGTTCTAGGCCAGCCAGGGCTACACAGCGTGATTCTCTTGTAGCACACAGTTCCTTTTTTCACCTTCTAGAGGCTCTGAAACTTCAGTTCCTTTAAAAAAAAATCAGGGCTGGAGAGATGGCTCAGAGGTTAAGAGCACCGACTGCTCTTCCAGAGGTCCTGAGTTCAATTCCCAGCACCCACATGGTGGCTCACAACTATCTGTAATGAGATCTGGCACTTTTTCTGTATGCATAATAAATAAATCTTAAAAAAATATTTTAAAAAATCAATCTC